CTATATATATATATATATATATATATATATATATATATATATATATACACTATCATGGGTTGGGTTCACGTGAGACCAATTTGTTTTTGTGAGACTACTTTTTGTATACTTAAAATTTCACGACAAAACATTGTGAAAGTAAAAAAAAAGTTGAACCTTCACAGAAAAAACACTATGAATGTTACATTCAAAGCGTTTTGTTATAAAGTTTCAAGTGCAGAAAAGTGATCTCACGGGTCTCACATGATCCCAAATCATACTATCATTATATTTATAGATATTAAAATAAATCTTTGTAAGGTGTTTTTAGAATTTTCTTTTCCAATATTTATGACATTATTGTTTGTCTCTTGTTTTGAAATAGGAATATTTTTTATTCTAGAATCTGGATCCGATGACGCATTCATGTCATACTGAATGATCACTATAACATCCATCATTAATATAATATTTTTTAAAAAAATAATTTTTTATATTTAACGTTACAAATATCGCATTTTTTGACATCTACGGAGGTTATCACATAACCTCAACAAAAACGATGGTTACATTTCTTGCGATCACCGCTACCTTTGACATTAAACTGACAGAAATATTTACTTTATACACTCGTATATGAATGTGCAGTTGATGAGTTTCCAGTAAAACTTCTTTTCTTATTATATTTATGCATCTCCTGTTCACCTTTGTATGAAAACAATAAAAAAAACCAGTAAAATAATATATAAATTAGATGATTCTAACATAAAGGAAGACTTTTGGATTTCTGTCTTTTATAATCGTGGTATTTAATCTGTTACAGATTTACCAAATTAGTCTGTAAGGTTTTGTCTTACTGCTAAATACACTTAAACTGGATAAACCTAAATTTATTTTAGATTAACATAATTCACACCAGGGTTTAGCAACACCCAACATAGTAGGTCGGCTTGCACACTTAGGGTTTGTAATTGACAGATTCTGGGTCGGTTCACAATGCTCCGTCCAAAGCATATAATGTCAGATGTTAATGGCTTACCTACAAAATAAAATGTAGCTTTCAAACAACAGCTATTAGACATTAAATTTACCTCGTATGTTTAATAGCAACACTGCTCGAAAATCAACTATGCTACAACCAGTAGATTACATAAACTTAATATTATTAATAATTTATATGTCAAATCAGATATAACTATTATTTTTCATACTAAGACGTCGGATTTTTGGATTCTATTGATACAATTTAATGTTCATAAAGACCGCAAATTTTGATTACATAACATGTCAAAATCATGACAATTCAAACGTGTGGACCATATCAATATTTTCTTTTTTTCTTTTTTTCTTTCTCCTTTTCAATTTCTCTTTTTATTTAGAGTAAGGGGCTGTTTACCTAAATGCTTATTCGGTAAGTGCTTAACGCTAGGAATCAATACTATAATTATTTTATTGGGTAAGATTGTTGTATCTCAAAACGTACCTTATGCAACAATTTACCTGGTAAGCGCTTACTCGGGTAAGACTCTTCATCCTTGTCATCTCTCTTACCGGGTAAGATTCTTGGCCCTTGCCATGTTCATCCGGTGCGGAAAATTACCCGGTAAGTACTTACCGGGTAAGCGTTTAGTAAACGGCCCCTTAAATTACATTTTTGGTCCATGTGGTTATTACTCATTATCAAGTTTGATCTCTATTTGAAATTAATTATAGTTCTGGTCATTGTATTTGTCATTTTGTTTCATTTTTGGTTCATATGACTAACTCCAGTTAAAAAGATAACAAAAGATTGTTTTGGTCTTTTTACTTTTTTATGCCTTTTTTTTTCTTCAGTGGTTCATTAAAAAAAAAAAAAAAAAAACACAAAAAAAAGAGTAAAAGAAAAACCAAAATACCATTAACTTAACTTACTTTTGTAATTAGGGTTAGTTTATAAGGATCAAAAGTGAAACAAAATGATAACTATAATGATTAAATTTGTAATTAATTTAAGCACGAGGATCAAAAGTGTAATTTATTGTTTTATTTATTTCAATTTCCCTTTTCGACAAAACTAGAAATACAAGATAATTATTACTTTATTGATTTATATTCTCTTCGTTCTAAAATAAGTGTAA